GGTGGCGCCATAGTACATAGAATCAGAAAGATTTATCCTCATGAGTTCAAATCTGGCCTCAGACACTTACTAGCTGTGTGACCCTGGGCAAGTCACTTCACCCTGTTTGCCTCAGTGTCCTCACCTGTCAAATGAGCTGGAGAAGGCAATGGCAAACCGCTCCAGTATCTCTGCCAAGAAAACCCCAAATGGGGCCACGGAGAATGGAACACAACTGAAGCAACTCAACGACAACAACACAGAGATGGCGAAGTGCTAAGAGCAACAGAGTTGGAGTCAGGAGGACCTGGGTTACTCACCACCTGTGTGACTCGAGGCAAATCACTCCACATTTCCAGACCTCAGTTTCCTTAACTGTTAAGTCGAACATTCCTTATTAAGCACTTGCCATGGGAAAGGCAAAATCCCCAAACCACACCAGAAACGGAGACCATTCTCCAGACTCTCCAAGAACTGACATTATTCTGGGAGACAACAGGTAAAAGAAGCAAATCCTGGCTAATTTAAAGGGGTGGACTGCATCAGCAAGCAGGCAGGGATCAAGAAAGGCTGCCTGTGTGAGACAGAGTCTGACTGGAGTCTTGATGGAAGTGAAGGATTCTAAGAGGCACAGCCGGGCATGGAGTAAGCCGAGGCAGAGAGAAAGACAACGATGAGACAACTGAGAAACGGCTGAGAGGCCGAATTCTTACTCTGCCCCTGTTTTTTGCTGCCAAGAAGCCTGATCTTTGGACAGAAAAAAAAAATGGCTAATAAGGACGACCCAAGATAAGTGAGGGGACAGTCAGTGCTACCCTGGATGATTTCAGGTCACCAGGTCCTGAATGTAAAAGGACAAAATTTAGTAGTATTTCTGTATTTCAGGTGATGTCTGCCACTGGTTCAACCAAGCTTCCAAGTCTAAGGTGGGTGAGGCAATGGTCAGAGGGCAGCTAATCTGGAAAGAGTGCCCAGCAGCCAATGTGACCTTTGGCTGCCCTGAGATAGGCACAGTCTCTAGGGTTGGTACAGCCCAGCTGGACTCTGCTTAAGCCCCAGACAGCAGAATTAGGAACATCTGGCTGAGAACAGCCTTCTGACAACGAGCTGTCCAGAAGTCCAATGGGCTGCCTCAGAAGGGAGTGAACTTCCCCTCCCTGGAAGTGTTTCAGCAAAGAAAAGCTTCACGGATACGTGTTACTGTGTTGTAGAAGGGACTCTGTGGTTGAGATATCTATAGTAAAGAGCCTAGAAATAAACTTTGGGGGAGATAATGAGTGATTTGCATTCCAGGCCTAGGGAAGAACTTGTTGCAAATTCATGGAGGTAGGAAATATAACTTCTGGTTCAAGAAACAGCTAGTAAGTTCACTTTGGTAGAAATGTAGCGCTCACAAAGGGAAATAACATGAAATAAGGTTAGGATGGTAGATTGAAGCCAGACTTTGGAGGACCTTAAATTGTAGGTCTTTGAATGAAGCCCAAGGGAGGACAGCTTTAGGGACAGAAATAGGCGGTGTGTGCCAAAGGTCTTTGGGCACAAGCTGAAAACTGTGTGGAGGTTTCTAAACCTGGGGTCCCTAGACTGGTTTTTAATATTAAGTATCTTGATAATTATTTCAATGTAGTCATTTTTTTCTATGTCTTCTATTTTATGCATTTAAAAACATGATACTGAGAAGGGGTCCGTCAGCTTCACCGACAGACAAAGGGGCCCATGACATAAGTGCTTCTGCTCTGAGGGGCTCTGGAGGGTTGCAGGGAAAGGAACTCAGCCAACATACTTTTAATCTTCCAATTCCGAGAAAGTAGAAGGGAATGCAGACCAGCTAATCAATGAGATGAATGAAAAGACTGGAGGAAGAGTGGGTGTTGACTCTGCTAGCATTCACAAGGAGCTAGCTCACTGGAGCCAAACAGCAGCATATACTGCTCAAAGAGATTTTCCATTTAAATCAGGAACTTATGAGAATCAAGAGGCCACCAAAAACTCACTCTGAAAAACCTGGAAAGACTTATATGGTCTGATGCTGAGTGAAGTGAGCAGATCCAAGAGGACTCTGTACACAATAACAGCCACGTTATGCAATGACTAAAATTGTTAAACTGAACCCTTCTCGGCATTACGAGGATCTAAGACATCTCCAGAGGCCTCGGGATGGAAAACGCTGTCCACATCCAAAGAAAGAACTATGGAAGTCGAATCGCTCTCACTTATTTTTACCTTCTGTTGAGTTTTGTTTCATCTTTCTGATGGTTCCTCCTATTGGTTTTAATTTGTACTTACAACTTCACTGATGTGAAAATATGTTTAATGGGTATGTAAATGTAAAGCCTATATCAGATTGTGCGCCGTCTTGGGGAGGGTCGGGGGGAGGAAAAGGGAGAAAAATTTTCAACTCAAAAGCATATGGAAAAAATAAAAAAAAAAACTCACTCTGAGTTAGGAGGTTTACAGACCATCAGGGCCAAAAAGGAGCTCAAATCTTGGATTTTTTTTTTTAATAGATGAAGGGGTGCAAGGAGACCCAAGTCAGGCAGGGATGGGGAGAAGCCACAGCTACATGGAGGAAGAGAATCTGGGTGTGGCCACCCACTTAACTCTGTGGAGTCAGTGATCAGGAGTTTGAATGCAGGGACGAGGCCCTGCCCTCAGGATGGGGATGCTGTGTGCCCACGTGACCATGCGTGGCACCTAGCACAATACGGGGTCTTCGTGTCTGCTGGGCTGCCCTATTCAGAGTCTTTCACACGCACACAGCAGACATTTAATAAGTATGTCAATTGACTGACTGGCCCCCTCTTTGGAAGAGCTTTCCCTGAAGGGAAGAAAAGAGGTTGTGGGGCCTCGGGGTGATGGCCCTGGCATCTCTGGGAGCGCTGGCCAGGGAAGGCAGCTGGCAGAGCTCAGCCCTGCGGCAGGGGATGAACCCTCAGTCTGCCTGCGCTGGGGGTGAGGCATGCCAGCATGGAGCATTGTTGAGAAAATCTTTTAAAGCTTTCTTTTGGCTTTTGTCATCTAAAGAGTGACAAAAGACCAGCTCCTTTCAGAGACCAGAACCACAGTTTGTGATTTAGCATTAACTCTGGACACAGGACCACAGACTGAGAACAGTAAAAGATATCAGAGGCTGTCCACTGCAACACCTTCGTTTTACAGATGAGGAAAGTGAGGCAGAAGGTGGCGAGGTGATGTGGCCAAGGCCACACCATGGACGTCACAGGTGAGATCTGGTTCCTGAGCCTGAGTCCCCCTGTGGGGGAACGTCCTTTCTCCCCAGCATCATCTCTAGCTGGAGATCCTGAGTAAGATCTGCTATCCCACCCGGCCAGATGCCTTCTCACACATCTGCTTCCATTACTTTGCCAACACTTAGCTTTTCTTTTTCTGATTTGGGGTTTTTAAACATAAGGTCTCTGGAGCCAATGAACCTGAGGTAGAAGAATCATGACTTTCTCAAAAGTTAAATCTCCAAGGGGTTTCTCTGCCCTTCGAGGGGTCAGTGTCCGGGCTCCTCCCTGTGTCTGCCGCCCCCAGAGCCACTCCCTGACTCCCGATGCTGCATCAGGCAGCAGGTGCTTTGGTTTCTTCCTTGGAAACTTCTGCTCACCTTCCATTTCAATTCAGGCAGCATTTATTAATTGCCTACTGTGTGCCAGGCCCCGTGCCAGGCAGCGGGGATAACAGGGACAAACATAAAACTCTCTCTGCTTATATTCTATTGGAAGAGACAACACCTCCAGTAAGTGCTGGATAAGTGGAGAAACATCACAAAAGATAGAGAGTAGATGCAAGACATTCTGGGAGCGAGGAAGAGGCTCTTGGCCTGGCTCAAAGTACAAGTACGGGGTCCAGGTGAGGAGGGAGCAGCGAGAGCAGAAGTGCAGAGGGTCAGGAAGGAGCCTCATGGAGAGGAAAGAACAAAGAGGGCAGTTTGGTTGGAGTGGGTCAGCAGCAATAATGTTTCTGTGGGGCTAGACACCTGGGATCAAGCCAGATTATGAAGGGCTTCGAATGCCAATGAAGTCTGTATTTTATCCTGAAGGCGAGAGGGAGCTACTGCAGCTTCCTGAGAGAGTAACATGATCCTTCTTATTTTGAAAAATCACTGTGGCAGCTGTGTGGAGGATGAATGGAGGGAGGGGAGACTGAGGCATTTGGAGGCCAGTGCAATAACCTAGGCACCTGGATTTGGGTGGGGGGTGGGGAGTGGAGAAAAGGGGGCAGATCCACCCCCACCCACAGTCACCTTCAGCTCCGCTCTACACTGGCCCTCCCCATCCCCCAGGACAGAAGATCCCCAGTCCCCTTCCAGCTCATTCGCTCTCCTGATCAACCAGAGCCCCTCTTCCCCAAAGGCACTTCCCTCCGACAGTGAAGGCCATAGACAAAAACGAGACAGGGAAGAACGTTTGTACCGTCACCTGCTCCCACACAAAGATCCCAGCAGGTGCTGGTGGCATCGGTGTGGCAAGGAACACTTATCTTTGCACACTGACCACCCGGCCTTTTATAAAGGATGGCGATAGCACCAAGACAGCTGAACTGAATGAAAACAGTGCCTACATGGTGCCCGATTCAAAGCAAAAGGGGATGTGGGTCAGAATGCCACCTCTGACCCTCACTGACTGTGTGGCTGTGGAGAAGTCACTTAACGTGTAATGGCTCCTGCTTCATCCCTCGTGAAACACAGCTTTAAGAACTGACTTCCTGGGCTCTGTGAGGACTCACCAGGATGGAGGACAAACCCTCGGCCCGTCTCAGCGCTGCTCAAACCCAGCATCATCGATCACCGTCCCCAGAGCAGCCGAGAATCACAGGCCTGGGAGCTGGGAGGGGCTCTGAGGGTGGCTGGTCCAACCCCTTCAATTACTGATGAAGACACAGGGCCAGGCTGGCGGGAGGAGCAGCCACACGACTTGGCCAAGGCCCCCCAGCTAGTGAGTAGCAGACAGAGGATCAATTCCACCCGAGGGCTTCGTCCAGAACAGCAGACAACTTAACAGGTAATTTTCGAAAGGTATAAGAAATCTTCGAGGAGAATCTCTTTGATTACAAGTTTCCTTAAGAACACTGATGATCTGCATTTGCAGAGGGAATTTCCTGACCCCCAAAATCACTGGTTTTACCAAAAATAAAAACAAAACCTGTGGCAGATTTCAGGCCCTTCTTTCTCTTGGGATTGGCCAGCTGGTGGTCAGGGACGGCACCTGCAGTTACGGGACTGATAGGGTGCCATGATTATTAGTAATAATGTGCTTGGTTGTTGGCCCGGGGATGCAAATGAAGGTGCGCAACGTGCTCTTACAGACATCTTCACATTCAATCGAAGCAGGAATTTGCCTTTAGATAACTGTGACCCTCCCACCATTAACACTGCGGATCTGACTTCAAACAATTTCTATTTTAACCACTGCCTGTGACATCACTAAACCACTCTATTCTGATGGTCCAGTGGAATAACCCAATTCAATCTGACAAACATTAGATAAGAAAGGTCAGAGACTCACAAGTCTCCACTGCCAGTCACTAAGCTGATCCAAGAGGCTACAAAGGCGGACGTGCAAGGTGCCTCTGCCCTCAAGGAGCTGATATTCCACCAGGGCAATGCAGCGCATCCAGGTCCAAGGAAGACGAGGTGCTCTGCCTGAAGAAAGAGGGCCGAAGCCTCCGCAGAAGGGCAGAGCCAGGAGGCAGGGGGACCAAGGAGGAGGAAGGCGTGCTTGCCCGAGTCAGGAGCGATGGCCAGCTGCCATGGAATTCAACAGATGCTGAAGACGTACAACCGGGAAGACCTGCAACTGACGGGCGACGAGGGAAGCGCCACGGGTGCCGCGAAGGCGAAGAAAATGTAGCGGCCGTGACAGATTCAAGAGGGAAGAGGGCGACTTCCAAGGGTGAGATGCTACTGGTCATCTAGGAGACATTCAGTGGGCAGCTGGAGATACAAGACGGGAGACGGATTAAGATAGAACGGACAGCACTGGGAGTCACTTGGAGACAGCCCGGACGGAACCCCAGGGAACGTCTGTTGAGGGGTCAAGAGATCAATGACAATCCAATGGAGTCTCCTGAAAGGAGGGGTCACATTGGCGGGCAAACTGAGACAATCACCTGAAAACCAAGGGAGAAAAGTGTCTCTGAGCAAGGGGTGCGGCCTACAGCACTAAAAACTGCGAAAACTGAGGAAGAAGAGACTGAGAAGAGGACACCAGACAGCCGTGGTGAGATACAGCTTACAGGACAGATCATCTTTTGTGGGAAGCCCCTTCTTGACGGCTGTGATGATTTGGGCACATTTGGTCTGAAGGAATGCACGTGAATGTCTCACTGTGCTCAAGAGCCCAGCTCAGAGGTACTGCTGGCTCCAGCCTTGGCATCAATTCAATCCAACCAACAGATAGCATGCCTCCTGGTTGTACCAGGAACGGTGGTGACAATAGTCCAAGCTTGCCTTCGGGAGAGGATGTTCTCTAGCCACAGCCTGGGGAGCAGGAAGGCCCTGGGGTGGGCTGGTGGCTTCTCAGAGGACACACGTCACCTCCACTGACCACGATGAGGATGGGGTCATCCCTTCTGATCACAGACCAATGGCAGTGGCTTCTGTATCTCTTCTTGTCCATCTCAGTCTCCTACCCTAAGCCACTTCCAGCTTGGTACCCCAGCCTAGCTTCCCTCTCCAGGGAATCTCAGAGACATCCGGGCAGAGGGTGGGAGATGGGAGGAGGAAAGGGGGCCTAGGTCTGGCTCCTGGCTCTGTCACTTACTAGCTGGGTGGCCCTGGGATCTCTCAGGAGATCTGGGTCTTAGCTCCTCCTCTGTAAAAGGCAATGGTGGGACTGGCTGGCCTGCAAGACCTCTCCCAGCTCTGAGTCCAGGATTCTCTGATCCTGTGTCCTGTGGATACTGCTTCTTGAGGAGATGCAAACCCAGATTTCACCACAACCACAAGTTTGCCAAAACTGACCCTACAAAGGCAAGGCAAGTGCTACCTCTGACTTCTTTCAAGCTCTTAAGACACTTTCTCATGCTGTGTTCTCCTGGAGCCTGGTCTGGAGCCTGAGGGACTTGAGATACTTGTGGTGCCAAGAGGGAAGAGGAGGTGAGGATGAAGACTCACCTAGTTTCCTTCTCTCTCCCAAATATCAGGTCTCAATGCAGACAAGGTTTACTTGTTGGCTTAGAGAAGGAGGGGCCGTGATGGGCGTCTGTGCTATAGTGGCTGCTACATCATACTCATCTCCGGTGTCTCGCAGAGAAAACCATAAGGCATTAGGGGACAGCAATGCATCTTGGTCTAAGAGACTGTTCAATGGGCAGCATCTGGGAAAGGGAACCCTCCACTTTAGAGTGTATGACAGAGGAGAAGAAAGCCTACAGAATGTGACAGGAAGTCTGGATTTTAGGGGAGCAGATCACAAAGCAATGGCTGAAAGAATATATTGAATCACTTTGGCCTAAAATTCCAGAGGGGAAGCCGGCTAAGGAGAGGTGGTTTGTTTTGGCAATGAAGTTCTGAAGACATAAAGAGAAACAATTTCAATGAGGAGGAAAGGGAAGAGCTACCAGGAGACAGACACACAGGAAGTTCTTTACCCAACCTCGGTTTTAAAAAGACAATGATGGAAGACGAAAACAAAGGCAAGTAATGGATGGTGAACTCAAACGTGTTGCATGGTCCTCCAAGACCTGTGTCAGAAGTGCTAACACTCAGAATGGGCAGAGGCTGGGAAGGAAGACGAAGGACTACTATGTTTGGCCACATCTCTGGACTGGAAAAGACAAAGAGGGTTAAGAGAGAGGGAGATGGCATGAAAGTGTCTACTGCCCTCCCTGACTCCCAGCACACAAACCATATTGTAGGGTCATGAAGGGATCAGCGATCTGATTATAACCCATTTGAAAGACTGTGGGGAATGGCCCAGGATGGAAGAAGGGACATATGGGAAGGGAACAGAGTCTGATCATTAAACCTGTGTGCTGGGTTTCGATTCCTGGCCACACTGCAGAATTCACTCTTTGAGGGGGCAGCTACGTGGCGCAGTGCATAGAGCACCCACCCTGAATTCAAATCCTGCCTCAGACCAAACACTTGACGCTTACTAGCTGTGTGACCCTGGGCAAGTCACTTAACCCCAAGTGCCTTAAAAAGAATTCACTCTTTGACTGGATGATTGGGGAAGAGGTGAGGAGGGGCTCATAAAAGACTGACGTGGCTTCATTCAGAATAGGCTGTGCCAGAACTCTGACGGGGTTACAGATCAGGAGAATGCTACTGATGTCAGTTCCTCAGCTAGATTTTAGAAAGGCCTTTGCCAAAAGTCTCTCGTGCTAGTACTTGTGAAGACATGTGGGTCAAATGAGTGTAGCTGGGCAAATTCAGAACGGGTTGAAAGGTGGAATCCACTCCAGGTAAAGGACCCCAGGGATCTGTGTTTGGCCCTGGGCCATTTACTGTTCTGATCAATGGCTCAGAAAAAGGAACGGACAGTGGATCTCATACAATGGATGGAGGATCCAGCAAGGTCTGGACAATCGAGAACCTGGGCCAAATCTAATGACATTGAACTAACAGAAAGGTAAAGCCTTGCATTTGTGTTCAAAGAGGCAAAGCCCACAAAGAACACGTGGGTGAGGTCTGGCTAGAGAGCAGTCTTCAGAAACTCTCTGTGGATTCCGAGGCTTGCAAGCTCACGACGGGTCAAGAGGTGATGTGGCAGGTGAGAGAGGCCCCGTTTCCATGACTACGGTGGAGGGAGGGGGCGAGACTCCTGCTCTACCCTGACCCCTCAAGCACTGTATTCAGGTCTAGGATGGAGAGCGTCCAGAGATGAAAGTGATGAAGATGGCAAAGAACCTTGGAATCACACTGTATGAGAATGCAGTGACGGAAGTGGGCAGGTTAGCCGGAGGAGACCTGGAGGGGGCCAGCAGCCAGCTTCAAGTCCTTGGTCTGTCACATGGGAGCAGAGAGCTAGCAGACTTGTTAGGAGCCAAGGAGACAAAGCAGGTCGGATGTCAGGAAAGCCTGGGTGATGGGGCTATTCCGAAGTGGAATGGGCTGCTTCACAAGGTCGTGGGAGGGCTCTGTGAAAAAGCTCATCAGGGATCCCCAGAGGACCCTCTGGGTCACTGCTGGGAATCTGTGAAAGCCTCTGAACAGAAGAAGGGCTCTGAAGAATCAACAGAGAGACCACCACAGCTCCCTTGCTTACTCCGCCCAGGCTGAATCTAGCATGGCTTTGTCACAAAGGGGTTTCCCATGTACCAGTCTGGCTTTGATGGAAGCTGATACGGGCAAGAGCAGTTAGTCAGTACCTCAGGGACTGCTGGATAACTGGAATTTTCCTTGGGCCCCAGTGTCTTTTTCCACAGTAAGTTTGGCCAGGAAATCTAAGACCTAAGGATGGAGATGGTTGGGATGTGCTCTCTTTCCCAGCATCCCTGAAATGCAGAAAGCTGGGTGGCGGAGACAGCTTAATTGGGCACATCTGGAATATTCCAACAGGCCTTGGTTTCCCTTCTCTGACCAGGGAAGGCTTGGTTCTGGGGTTCATCCTGGGGATGAACACAAATGAGATCGTGGAGCTCAGGTCCGCTACCACAAAGGACAAGCATTCCATGCCCTCAGAGTCCAATCCAGAAAAGCAGCTCCCTCCATGCCTCCTTCATCTCTTCAAGAACACAATCATCACTGAAGCAAACCTAAGGATCATCAGCTGCTCTCCTGCTGACACAGAGGGAGGGTCCCAAGAACTGTCTGCCTAACTGAGGCCGACCTCATGACACTATCACTCCTCGTGGCAGAGGATGGCTGTTTCCTGTTCTCCCAGTGTTTGGAATGAGAAGGCAACAGCTTCCCTTGGGTTTCTCCCGTGGCTGACCCTTACCTTGTACTAGCCACCATGCCTGACTATATCTTGACCTAAAATGTGACTCCACTCCCCGCTTCATCTGTTCATTTCTTTTAAAATAAGGCACACTCTTTCAGAACCACATGAGAGTCACGAGCCACAGGGCTGCAGAATTCTGGAGCTGGACGGGCCTTGGGGCTCAGCCTGGCGACAATCCCCTTTCCCATATCCTCCATGAAGGCTCTGGTCCCATTTGTGCTTGAAGACCTCTAGGGAAAGAGAGCCCACTCCCACCAAGGCCATCCATCCACCCCCACAGGGGGGCCTTCCTCCTCCTTCAGGTTGCTCTGACACCCAGCCTAACTCTGCCTCTTGGGAAGGCCCCCCCTTTGGTTCCTGGTCCTGCTTCTCAGGGATGTCTAATCTCTCTGCCTCTGAGAGCTGGCTTAGGATGAGGACAGGGGCGGGAAGAAGCCCAGGCCCTGGGAGGTTCTGTTCCTAGGGGACACCATTGGTCTGAATGTCATGAGGACATTATGAATGGCCACTGCTACCTTGTATGTACTGCTGAGGGGAGGGGATTCTGCTGATTTATGCGGGGGGTTGGGATCCTGTGTACTAATTATGTATTTTTTAATTAGTAGAAATGACACGCTCGCATAAATCTCCTGCTAGGGTGGGTCTATAAATTACCTAGGGCGTGAGATAAATAATCTGGGTGACTGAGATGTCCCTGGTGCCTAGCGGCAGTGAAGAGTCCAGCACCACAGATGGATCAGAAGCAGGGGGCCCCTGTCCACCCTCTCTTGACAGCAGCCAAGAACCCTCCCACTGCCACATATACCAGACTGTCCCTTCTCATTCGATTTATTCCATGATGTGGATTTACCAAGAGAGTCCCAAGTTGGCTGGGCCAGGCAGCAGACTGCCATGGAGGGGTCTGGCCTGGGGGAGGTCAAGAGCAGGAGGCATTGCCTGCAGGTGTGGTGGTACTTCACACCCTCCTCTCCTGCTGCTCTCCCAATATCTCAGTCTATTCCCCACCCCCTTCTTTCTGCCTGCAGTTCATATTAAAATTAAACTCCAACGAAACTCCCAAATTGTTCAACTTAACTTAAACTTTAAACAAACTTAAAATCCCCTCTGGCTTGGAGAGGTCCCGTGCGTCCAGCTCAGCTGAGTTGGCCGGGCAGAGGGGAGGTGGTGCTGGGTCACCATGCTGGGCACTCATCCATCTCGATCCTCTGTCCCGTCCTCTGGTGCTCGCTTTGCCGCTGCCGCCACCTCTGGCCTCTTGAGGATGGCGCTGTACTTGAGGGTATTGTCCTCAGCCTCCAGAACAACCTCCACCAGGCTGAAGATGGCGATCACCTGCGGCCAGGCAGAGCAAAGGTCAGCCCCAGGGGAGAGCCCGTCCTGAAGGCCACAGCAGGCTAGAGCCAGGGCCTAGGGCCTGACACCTGCCCCTCCACAGGAGTCCTCTGGGGGGCCTGTTTCAGAGGCAGATGGATGGTATAGGAGGCACAAGAGTCAGGAAGCCCTGACTGCAAACCCAGCCATGGACAGGTCACCTCCCCCTCTGTGCCTCAGCCGCCTCTTCTGTAAAACCAGGGGGCTGGGCTCCATGGCCTTTGGGAGGCCGAGGTGCTCTCCCCACCTGCCCCACTTTCTGGCCGGTCTCACCTGATGCACTGCCTTCTGCTGGGGGTTCTCAGGCTCCCAGATGAGGGTGAGCTCTGGTTTCTTCCCCACCTTCCTAAATTGGTAATCCTGCAGTGGCAGGGCCTGCGGGGACACATAATGAGCCCTTTGGATTTCTGGTTGGCTCAGGGGTCCAGCTCCAGCTTCTGGTTCAGGAATCGCCAAGCCCCCTGGAAGCACAACACCCAACCCTGCCCCCCAAGCCTCCCTCTCTGTCTGCACCTCTCCCACTCTCCCAACAAGACCCCAAGCCATCCTTCGTCTGGCAGCTTAGTCAGAGGCAAGCCGACAGGCTGAGGGCAATCACGGTCCTTCCAAACCCAGGCTCCAGGAGAAGGAAGGAGGCCATGGCCACTAGCAGGTGGAGGAATAACCGGAAATGCCCGTCAGAGTCCACTCCCAGTTCATCTGGACAGGTGCTGTGCTACACTGGGGGGGGGGCTCACCTACACCTCGCACCCTGCTGACTTCTACCCACTTCTAGTAACTGGGGCGGGGACAGAAGATGGAAGCCTGCGAGGTATTGCTTGGGGCTAGGATGTCCCAGGCCCTAGGACCACAGGTACAGCTTTCACCTCTCCTCCCACCTGAAGGCCTGGGCTGAGACACAATGTGGAAGTGGGGACCTCGGTTTTCTAGAGCATGGCTTAAGTCCCAGTAAGGGGGCAGCACATCCCAGCAGGCCCCGGAAGGCAGTTTGGCGGCGGATCGGCGGAGTCGACTTGAGGGCTCTGAACAGGAGGTGGCAGGGGAAGGAGACAGCAACACGCACTTCAGATTTTCTATCTGAGGCTTGAGGTGCAGTCAGGTCCTTCCTCAATGCCTCAACAGGTCACGAAGGCAAGACCAGGTTCTGGAAGGTCGTGCCAGCAGAGCACAACATGGGCGGGCCTCACCCCAAGCAGGAAAGGCTGCCAGGCCAGGCCTGGGGAGGAACTAACTAGACGCCTGCAGTCTGAGGACCCTCAGCGAAGCCTGGAGAAGCCAGGTCACAGATCACGCCAGGAGAGGGGGACTGGGACTGGGTCAGTGATGGGAGCCTAGCACCTGCCCTGGGGGAGCCTGGAATGCCAAGCCCAGGACGCTTCCCCCCTCTTAAGAGGCCTCAGAGTGGGCACACAGCGCAAGGCCAGGCCCCAAAGCACACAACATGACCAGCCAAAGGGTGCAGGGAGCTAAGGCGGTCCCAAGCACTGGGGAGGTGCCAGCAGCCATGAGAGCGTGGGGGTCACGCTGCCAAGACAGGGATCCCCAGTAAAGGACACTGTCTCCGGCTGCGGTTTCATTCATTACATGGAAATGCTCTCCAGGCAATTTCCACTTTGATCCTCCATGAGAAGAACATTCCGTTATAGCTCAGTGAAGACCCTTCTGTAGGGGAAGGGTCTGTGAACTGGGGATGGGGTTGGGGAGAAGAGGGCAGAGGAGGAGGGGCTGAGGGAGGGGAAGGGAGAGGAACATGGCCGGGTCTCCGACTCCCATGGAGGTGGCCCACGGGCCTTCTGTCTCTCCCCATCCTCTGCCACGGAGAGCCCCAGTCTCGGCACCAGGATGACACTCCAAAGCTGTCCCTTCTGCTCCTTTCTCTTCCTGTCACTGGTGAGAGGCCTCCCCTTTCCTCTCCTTTCCCAGGGGATCCAGACCCCCGCTCCCCCAGCAGGGCTCTCTCCCCCCAGCCCACAGCCACACTTACGTTACAGTAGACACGCTTCTGCACTCCAAAGCGTAACACCAGCACGTCGAAGGCCTTGTTCAGGACACCCATCACCATGGCCTCTGACTCCAAGGGGCCACTCTCCTGTGGGAGGCAAGGATGCCACGAGGTCACCTGTAGGCCCAAGGGCTCAGGGAAAGGCATCACAGGCACCGCGAGGCCAGGAGGACACTGTGTTTACTGAAGCTAGGGCTGCACCCCAAACTCCAGCCTCTGCTCCCCTTTGAGAGGCAAGTCCAGAGAAAGCTGGGAGCCAGGGCAGTGGGAAGAGTGAGCTCAGTCTGGGGATGAGGGGGGAGGGAGGGAGCGAGAAAGGCTGGAGCCTTGGACTGCCTTACCCTGACCATGACTGCAAAGAAGAGGTTGGTGCTGAGCTCCTGCACCCGTTTGGAGGCCATCCGCTGGTCATTGCAGTGGTCAGCCTGTTTCTGGAGGGCATCTGCATCCAGGTTCAGGGGCTCTCTGGAACCTGGTGAGGAGAGGGGATGGGCCCTTCAGGGGCTGCAGGGTACCTCCCTTTTCCTGCAAGCCCTGAGAAGATGAGGACAGAGGGAAGGGAGAACATGGGCCCTCAGCTCCCTCCATGAAGCACGTCTAGTCCCGGGGGGCCTCACTTTGTGCTGTGGACCACTCCCTCAGCAGGCAGGCTGCAGAAGTTGAGGGACCCCTCCTCAGGACTGCATTCTTAAATACATAAAATAAAACACAGAGGAGCACAGAGGAAAGCACGTAGATGGAAATACTCAGAAAAAACAAGTAACTGTTTCCTCTCTTGCTGTTCGTGGGCCCTCCTTCTGAGCTCTATCCACAAAGCCCACAGAGGGCAGTGGTCTGGTCAGGGCCTTGCAGAGGTTGTCTCTCTGTACAGTGCGGTGGAGTTGGGGTGGTCTCCTCTGGTCTGCCCAGCTCTGGCAGACTGGGACTCCACACCGACTCCCAGGCTGGCTCCCCAGGCCTGGCCAGTGACTGTGATGAGCATAGGCTGCCCCCTGGCCAGACCCGCTTCCCTCAGTCTGGCCCACATGGGCGGCTGCAAGAGGGCCCCAACCTACCAAGCGAGGCCGCAAGAAGCCGGTGCACCAGGACGTCAGCAAAGCGGCGGATGGGCGAGGTGAAATGGGTGTAGAGGGGCACATTGAGGGCATAGTGTCGAAACTGAGCTTCGTCCCGCAGCACACCCGTGCAGAAGTACAAGGCCATCTGGAAGGGAGAGGAAGGTCTCAGGCGGCAGGGAGGGGCCCAGGCCAGCAGGCAGCCTCTGGGGGATGGGGGAGCAGGGAGTAAACCATCTAAGCTGGGGAGAGGGGAAGGGCACGCCAACCACAGAGCAGTCACAAGAACGAGGGCTAGAGGGCAGACCAGTGGCCTTGAATAAGGGGAAGAAGGTCAGGCATTCCAACGGCTGCCCATAGAGAGAGCTTGGCACCCTCCTCCTGTGACCCGCGTGGGTGGCCGGTCACTGCCAAGATGGGGCGGGGAGTGGGCGACAGTGCAGGCAGCATCTGCTTCTAGGGGCGTGGCTCCAACTCTGGCTCTTCACTGTCTCAGATAAATGTCAATGCGATCCTTGGCCTGCCCTTCCTACACTCGTCCCCAACGGCTGGGATACATCTTCTCCGGGGCAGTTTTTGGGGTGATGGGAGACACCAGCTAGCGCTATCAGCCCCAAGGGTGCCCCTACGTTGAGCTGGGGCTGAGAACACAGCACGTAGCCAACAGCCTATGGCAGCCTTCAGCGAGCTGGCTGCTCCCTCCAGCTCAGAGGGAGACTGAGATACCACAGGGCCCACCTGAGCTGCACCTGGGTGGAGCAGCCTGGCTTTCCCAGAAGCCTCCGCTGATCCTGGGAACAGTGATTTCCTGCTGCCCACTGCCTGCTATTCCAGACCCCAGAACAAGACAAAAAGGAGGCCATGAGCTGGGGAATGGGGGGCAGGCGGAGGGGTGGCTAGGTGGCATCATAATGCATAGAGTGCCAGGCCTAGAATTAGGAAGACTCCAGTTTCTGAATTCAAATCTGGCCTCTGACATTTCCTGGGCAAGCCACTTGACCCTGCCTGCCTCAGTTTCCTCATTTGTCAAATGAGCTGGAGAAGGAAATGGCTAACCGCTCTAGTATCTCTGCCAAGTAAGCCCCAGTGGGGTCAGAGAGAGTTGGCCATGACTGAACAACAAGGGGCTATGGACGCTGTGTGAGCAGGTTCTGAATGACGTCAAAGTCGTGCCCGTGGATACACACATGTGCACGCATACACACATGCACACACACGCATGCACATGCCATGCCAAATGGAGCAGCTGGGGCCTAGCTCAGGCAGCGAGGGAGCGCCTCGGCTTCCCAAACCTCCTGCTGGGCAAGGTCCCCAGGAGGCCACAGTGAGCCTGGAGCCTCAGCCTCTGCCCTGACCCAGCCTGGGCTTGGACCTGCCAAACTCCATGGATGAAAAGTGTGGCCAGACAGCCAGCCCCCACTCCTTCCTCCCTGGCACCCCCACGGCAGCCTCATGGGAAGGCTTGCACATCATCCACAGCCATGAGGATTCCACCTGCCCACCAGGGCAGGGCTAGGAGTCTGCCCCCAGCAGCAGGCCGCTCCAAGGAGGCTCAGCTCCCTCCGCCAGATTCCCAGGAAATAACCTACGGTCCCTGGGAGATGACAGAACATTCCCCCAAGTTCTCACAGGGCCTGGGAACACGCATCCTGTTAGGGCTGCTACAGTGTGGGGCTGGAGGGGGCAGGCCTGAAATCCCAGGCTGAGCTGGAGAAATCTCCCATCTCCTGTGCTCTTCACAGCGGTCCCGCCATCATAAGCGAGTGCTCAGTGCCCCCTCCCCAGAGTCTCCTAAGGCTACGATTCCATGGTCCCCAGGGACCTGGAGTAGGCAACAAGCAGCTCATGGGGGGTGGCTGGTGCCCAGAGCTAAGGAGGGGGTGTGCCAGGCCAGGCAGCAGGACGGAGGGACCCCAGGCACTCTCTGGCGACCGCACTCCTCAGCAGAGCCAACAGGGCATGGGGTATCGATTGGCCAAAGCAAACCCAGGCTGCCACCGCTCCCTGGGCTGCCTTCCTTGTCACCCACCTCCCCAGCTGTAAGCTGGGGTGCACTTCTGCCTCTCCCCCCATTCACTGCCAGATGCTCTGGGGACAGGCTCTGGCCAAGGGGCCTCAGCAGGAAGGCGGGAACAGACGTGTTGGTGCACTGAGAGTGTCAAAGGAGAGGGAAACGGGGAAGGACCCACGTATGCAGAGGCACTGGGGTGCCAGAGGCGGTCAGCTCAGGAAGCAGAGAAGGTCAAGAGGGAAGCACAGAGGACACTCGGCTGGCCCACGCTCTAGGTCAAAGCCAGGATGCTGCTGCCCGGCCATCACTGCCCCTACCTCCCCCAACCCTGGAGCAGAGCCAGACCATCAGGTCCCCATCACCAGTCCCTCGGGAGCCTCCCCAAAGCCTCCTCTGCCTCACATCCCTCCTCCTTCCTCCCTCCAGTCCATCATCTGATCACGCCACTCCCCTACTCAGCAAACTCCCGTGGCTCCCCATTACTTCTGAGACCAAAGACAAGCTCCTCTGTCCGGCATCAGAAGCCCTTCACCCCTGGCTCCAACCCCACTTCCCAGGCTAATCTTACACAGCTCCCCTTCACACACCGTTTCTTTTGTTTCCCACCTCTGAGCCTCTGCATAGGCTGTTCCCCATGCTGGGAAGGCACTCCTGCCTCTCCTTCACCTCTCAGTCCCTCGCTTCCTTCAAAGCCAGGCTTTTCCTAGTTGTCTCTTCCCCCGTTGTTACCTCATCGCACCATTTTTGCTTTTTTGTACTTGGTGTCTATATTGATGTGTACATCTCGTTTCCTTGCGCTAGACCCTCGGTCCCTTTGGGAATTCCCTCTGGTCTTGGGAGTACATCCCCCAGTGCCTAGTACAGGGCTTGGCACACAGTGGCCGATTACTAAATACTGCCTGAGGGTAGGTTGACAGCCTGCGTGGCCCCAGGCCTGGCATCCCGGGCACTCGCCCAGCTCTCTCTGAAGAGGCCTCCAACATCTCGGGGAGAGAAGGTGAGCCTCCCCTTGCAGGGAAGCAACGTCTCCCAGAGGTAGCCTCGAACCCCAGGGCAGGCGTCACAGGCACACGACAAGCAGAGCCAGCCTCCCAGCTGGCACCCCCCCCCCCCGGTGGCCTCAGAGTCTTGGGCCCGGGCTTTGAAAGCAGGCCCAGCACCTGAGGTGGGGAGCTGAACGCTGAGGAATCCTCCCTTCTGCAGGAACTCAAGAGCAGGATTAGGTGCGTATGTGATAAGGCGGGTAGGGTGAGGAAACTGGGGACCCCTTGGTGCAGGGGAGACTGTCCTAGGTAACGGCTCCCGTGCTCTCAGGTCTGAAGAAAGCCAGATGGTCCCCTTGGAGGCAGTGTGGGAGGTGGCTCCACTCCGCAGGCATCCCAAGGGTGGCTCTCCACAGAGGGTGGAGGGAGGATTGGCAGGAAGGCGGGAAGGTGGAGCTGGGCTCCAGGCGGTAGTGGAGGGGCAGGGGAAGGAACCGGGCTTGCTTACCTGCATGGGCCTCGAGCACATGTTGGTGAGCACCTCCTTCCAAGCCAAAGAATACATGTCGTCCCCGAACATCTCTGTCAGACTTTTCTAGGAAGGAAGAAAAACAAAACTCTAATACGTTCCAAGTAAAACGCAAGCCAGGGAAGAGGAGGGTGTGCGCGGCCCGGCCAGGGCTCCTCCAGAGAGCAGTGGCCTCTGGCGATGCCAGGCTCTCAGGCCTGCCCTGCTCTGCTCCCGCTGCCTCAGAGCTGTTGGCCTGCGGCCTGATCAAAGCAGTGGCTGCACCCTGGGGGTCAGCGTATGAGGAGCCTGGGCAAGACTACAGAGATCATGTAATCTAATTCTCTCATTTTGAGGTCCAAGATGGGAAACGTCTTGCCAAAGTCACACAGTTGGTTGGGAACAGAATCTTGGCTTCCTAAGTCTGGTCCAGATCTTTTCCCACCAGAGCATACTGCTTCTGGAGGTCCCAGCTGCTTTATGGGCCTGCCCCAAACCCACGTAACCTCTGGTGGGGACAGGGTTTAGCCACGGCTGGCCACGGCAGCCAGAGCCAAAGCCCAGTTGTCCACAGTGGCCCGTGAGCGCCAGCATTGGGTCCCGCTGCTCTCCTTGGCAGCTGCCCCTGGAGCAGCGGCTCTTGCCCTTGGTGTGACCCCTTTGACACAGACGGGAGTCCAGGCCCCCACCTTCACACACACGCACCAAATGAACTTTCTCTTTGGGTGGGGCAGGGCTGAGGCTGTCGGTTTCTGAGTCCCTGGCATGATGCCCCAAAAGTGCTCTTTCAAAGTAATTTCAGCAAAAAAATATAATAACATCTTGAACTGGAAAGCAATACTGGTCAGTGTGTGAAATACTCTTAAGCCCAGGACTCACCCCCCCACCCCTTGCTCACGTACTCCACTGATGGCAGAAGCCGTGTCTGGCACATCCTCAGCACAATCCTGGCTGAGAGGGGGGAGCAGAAGAAGGCGTTTCAAAGCTCACAGTCAGTGAAATCAGAAAGCCCTCCCTGCTCCAGGCAGGGCCCACAGCGTGGACCACCATTCCCTGGGCTGCCCCTGGACCACTGCCTGGAGGGGAGAAAGACCCCAGGGACCACCTTTCTGCCCAGCAATGTAACAGGCACAGCAGCCAGAGCTTTGCCCCAGGGGCCAACAGAAGCCCGGCAGCTGGTCACACAGACTAATTACTTAGAAGAGGAAGCCGCTGGATTGCTTCCTAGCAAGGGCCTCAAGGTATCCTGAGGTGGGGGCAGAACGGACCTTGTGCTCCGGGTCCAAAGTCTCTCTGGGTCTCAGGTCCTGCCACCCTCTCCCTGCCCCCTAGGCTTCTGCCAGGACTGCTGCTTGTGTCGGCCCTGCCCACCTCTCTCCAGCTCTTCCTCATCACAAGCAGAGCCAAGAGCAATGCACAGACCCTTCCTCTTTCAGGAGCACCCAAATCTGCAGCTTGGCAAGATCCGTTAAACCTTGCCAGGATCCTCTGAGGAAAGGTGGGACTGCAGCAATCTAAGTGCCGGGCAGGGCTCGAGCAGCGCAAGGCACTCACATGAAGGGCTCCTGCTGAGCTGAAGTCGATGGTCAGCCCCAGCTGGTCACAGAGCTCCTCGAGGTCACTCAGCAGCTTGCTCTGGGGCGGCGGGTGGCGGCGCAGCAGGGCCCGCTCAGGGAAAGCACAGTAGATGCGATGAGCCACAGCCATGTTGGCCAACAGCATGAATTCCTCCACAAGCCTGCAGAGAAGGCATCCAAGAAGTGAAGAGAGCAAAGGTTTTCCCCACCGAAGGATGACGGGTGCGAGTCCCAGGCCTGGGGACAGGGGGCTGGTTTCTGGACATCTTGGGGAGACGCAGGGCACCTGCTGGGCTGGTCCGGGGCCCAGAAGACAACCTTCTTAGAGAATGTTCTGCAGGGATTTCTCTATGCCTCTCCTTGTATGTTACACTGAGGGCCTACAAGCCTGGTCTGGGTTAGTTTTCCAGAAACACAGTGACCTAGAGTGGAAAGAGTGTTGGATTTAGAGCCAAAGGGTACTAGATAAAGTCCTGCCTCTACCATGTGACCTCTCTGTGCCTCAGTTTCCCCCTTTGTAGGTCCTTTTCAGGTCTAGATCTAGGGGCCTATGAGGGCAGCCAGGAGCACAGGGCAAGATGAAGATGCCACGGCCACTGCGTCCGGCTCACAGGCTGGCAGAGGACAGGAAGGAGGGGCGCCCAGCAACAACCCAGAGTGGAAATGATGAACCCAAAGATGGCCAGCCACACACCAGCCCCACCTGGACAGGCAGGAAGCAAAGGGCCCCTGTGGGTGAGAATGGCCCTGAGGAAGCGTTCTGGGCAGTGTGCTGAGCTCGGCATCCGCCGACAAGAGGGAGACAAAAAGGAGGTCCAGAAGGAGCTTGTGATGCACACGGAGACAGAACGCACGCTTGGCTTGAGCAAATACAAACATTCATAAATACAACTTGCTACAGTCTGAAGTGAACGTGCAATGGTGAGACCATGTGATGGAGATGGAGATGGAGAGGAGGAAGCAGTCAGCATGTGCGGGGTGACTGGGCATGATGGAATGGCTAAACACCAGGATTTGGGAATCTTCCACTAGGAAGTCTGGAGTCCCATCCTCTACTATCCGGCCCACTCGCTGACTCACAGGGCCTCATGCAGAGCAAGTGCAATCACCCCCTAAAGGCACTGAAAGGACTGTAAGGTGTACATAAAGAAAACAGCCTCTGTTCTGGAAGATGTCCGGGGAAGGCGATTCTGTGGTTCTCGGGCTTAATGTCAAGCACCCTGGGAGATCTCGGGGGCGAGTTCCTCCCTCTGTCTAATCTAAGTCCATCGGGCTTCCATTCCAGCCCACCTCCTCCCAAGTCCAGGCAGCAGCAAACAGAGGAGAGGTATCCTTCAGACTCAAATCAGCCTCACAGACTGCTCTGGAGGATCCCTCCCAGGGCCTCTTCCATTCCTGTTACTAGAGCCCTGGTCTAGGCCTGGGTTAGTGTGACATCTCCTCACTGTCCCCTGGGCCTCTAGCCAACAATCCCAGAATTCCTGCACACAAGTCCTTCTCAAAAACCTTTCACTGCTCCTCCAGGGCTTGAGGGTCATTCGGACCCCTTGGCCTAACGCTCAAGGACGCTGCATCTCCTTCCCCACCTGTTCGGCCTTTGTTCTTGTCCCTGTTCCCTAGGACAGAGTCTTCTGCATACGGCACCCAAGCATTTCCTGGATGAGTGACGACTGCCTTCTGCTCTAGCCACAGACTTGCTCATTACCCCCCTTCCACAAAGCCTTTCCTCAGCACTCAAACCCACCCTCACCACTCCTTTCTCCAAATTCCTAATCTTATGCTTCTTTATGTTATTTCAAATAAATTCAACTCGATTCACCATGAAGCACAACTAGGTGGTTGTCTTAAAATACTACAGTAGGCATACAACTCGATAACTATCTGAAGAGGAGGCAGAGCTGTGGGCTGGGGGGAGGGTCCCAGGTCACTACTTATCGCTTGTGGGACCCAGAGCAGGCAGAAACTACTTCTTCTTAACATCTGCCCCGCGAAGTGAGAACTTGGGACTTGTGAGTCCCCTGAACAACAAGATGGAGGACGAGACCTGATCTCGACCTCTCAAACCTCTCCAAAACAGAAATTCTGCATCAAAGATAAATCGATGTCATGGTTAAGGATCCCTGAAATTCAAAAGATGGTCAGAAAGAAAACACCGAGGGCAGCTAAGTGGCACAGCAGACAGAGCACTGGCCCTGGAGTCAGGAGGACCTGAGTTCTAATTCGGCTTCAGATACTTAACACTAGCTGTGTGACACCAGGCCAGTCACTTAACCTCAACTGCCTCATCAAAAAACAAAACAAAACAAAAAACACACAAGAACACACTGAAAGACCCATGAATTGACATCCACGTATCCTGAGCTGACTCAGTGTCCCTAAAGACCTGACATAGGCTTACAACAAAACCCAGCCCCACACTGTGGTCTTCCTCCCTCTTTCCAGCGCTATGGACCCTCCAGCTCCAGACTGAGAAGACAGAGAACGCTGCAAAGATTTGTACTCCAAGGGCTGGAGTAGAAAACAGCACAGTGTGGCAGAGCGCCGAGCTGATGCTACTGGGCCAGAGAATTAAGAAATACAGGGAATGGGACAGCTCATGAGGATAAGACACCATGCATGTGCGGGGTGACCAAGACCAAGGGAAAGAGCAAAGCATCTAGTGAGTGCCAGTTCTGACCACTCAAAAGCCACTTGGGATAGAGACCAGGCTGGTGAACCATGAACTGCCCAGCGTAGATGGAGGCTGAGACACTTTGAGATCCAGGCCCAAAGGAAACCACCATTGGAGTGAAAAAATGATCAGAGGGAAAAACTGGGGGGGGGGGGGGGGGGAGACTGAAACTACCAAAGATCTCAGGAAGAAGAAAACTCTTAAGACCCTGAACATAACAGATGAATCAGGAAAAACATTAAGTCCACATCTAGCAAAAAAGTTTAGGCATCTAAACAAAACAAAAGAAAATGATCCAATTTGTTGATAAGACAAAGGACTCTGAGAATTTAAGGAAAACATGAAGTCATAACAAGAATTCCTGGAAGAGCTAAAAGTTTTTCAAAAGTAAATAAGAGTGTTACAGGAAAAATTAGATAAAAAAATGAGAGCAAAGGAAGAAAATTATGAAAATTACAGAAGAGGTGCAAAAACGCTTAAGAAAATAACACTTTAAAAAACAGAATTGGCCAAATGAAAAACAGATACAAAATTTCACTCATGAAAATAACTCCTTGAAAAGCAGAATTGGCCAAACAGAAAAAAAGGTAGAAAAAAAATCACTGAAGAAAACAAATCCTTAAAAATCAGAACTGGTCAAATGAAAGCTAATGACTCCATGAGACATCAAGAAACAATAAAACAAAGTCAAAAGAATAAAAAGAAAATAGAAGGAAAAGTGAAATAATTCATTGGAAAAAACAAATAATCTGGAAAATAGATTGAGGAGAGATAATTTAAATATTACTAGACTTAAAAAGAACAAATTAAAAATCCCCAATTAAATACCTAATTAGAAATTCTGAAAACCAAAGGAGAGATTAATAAAATTGAAATTAAGAAAACTATTGAACTAATCAATAAAACTAAGAACTGGTTTTATTAAAAAAACAAACCAAAATAGATAAACCTTTGGTTAATTTGATTTAAAAAAAAGAAAACCAAATTACCTGTATCAAAATGAAAAGGGTGGGTTCACCACCAATAAAGAGGAAATCAAAACAATAATTAGGAATTATTTTGCCCAACTGTATGCCAATAAATTTGACAATCTCTGGACGTATATTTACAAAAACGTAAATTGCCCAAATTAACAGAAGAGGAAGTAAAATACTTAAACAAACCATCAGCTCCCTAAGAAAAAATCTCCAGGGATTTACAAGTGAATTCTATCAAACATTTAAAGAAAAACTAATTAAAACACTATATAAACTATTTGGGAAAATAGATGAAGGAAGAGTCCTACTAAATTCTTTTTATGATGCAAATATGGTGCTGATACCTAAACCAGGAAGAGCCAAAACAGAGAAAGAAAATTGATGAGATTAGTTGCTGTAATCTCTTTGCTAATATTTTATTTAAAATTTTTACATCTATATTAATTAGGGAAATAAAATATTAGCAAAGAGATTACAGCAACTTATCTCATATCACACCTGCTAACATGACAAAATAGGAAAATGAAAAATGTTGGAGAAGATATGGGAAAATTGGAACATTAACACATCGTTGGTGGAGTTGTGAACTGATCCAACCACTCTGGAGAGCAATCTGGAACTATGCCCAAAGGGCTATAAAATGTGCATACCCTTTGACCCAGCAATACCACTTCTAAGGCTGTATCCCAAAGATCATAAAAATGGGAAAAGGATTCACATGTATAAAAATATTTAAAGCAGCTCTTCCTGTGGTGGCCAAGAATTGGCAATTGAAGGGATGCCCATCAACTGGGGAATGGTTGAACAAGTTGTGGTATATGAATGCAATGGAATACTATTGTTCCATAAGAAATTTAGCAGGTGGACTTCAGAAAAATCTGGAACAACTTGTATGGACTGATGCTGAGTGAAATGAGCAGAACCAGGAGAACACTGTACATAATAACAGCCACATTGTGCGATGACTAACTTTGATAGACTTAGCTCTTCTCAGCGATGCAAAGATCTGAGACAATTCCAAAAGACTCACGATGGAAAAATTCTATCTACATCCAGAGAAAGAACTATGGAGTCTGAATACAGACAGAAGCAGACCATTTGCTCTCCTTTTCTTTTCTTCTTTTGTTTTGTTTCTCTTTCTCATGGTTCCTCCTATTAGTTTTAATTCTTCTTTACAACATGACCAATGTGAAAATATGCTTAATATGAATGTATAAGTGTAGCCTATATCAGACTATACGCTGTCTTGGGGAGGGGGAGAAGAGGAAGGGGAGAAAATTTAAAACTCGAAATCTTATGGAAGTAAATGTTGAAAATTAAAAATAAATTAATTATAAAAAAATAAAATAACTGCAGACAAAAAAAAAAGAATTATTGGACTACCTGAAAACCATGATTAAAGAAAGAGCCTACACATGATATTTCAAGAAATCATAAAACAAAACTACTCTAATATCCTACAACCAGAGGGTAAAATAGAAATTGAAAGAATCACCTCCTGAAAGAGATCCCA